ACAATAAAACATTTTCAGCAAAAGGAACATATACCAATTATTATTTAAATATTCTTTATAGATAGAAAGTAAAAATTAGATGACAGATGCATTGAGAATAGCCTTCCTCATAGAAAAAAACTTCATGATATATAACATTCAAAGCATTATTATAGCTATCAAGAATAAGCCCTGAAACCTCTTTCTAAATGTAACGAAACTAGGTTGGATAATTACCAAAAGAAACTGCCATTCTGACAGAATTGTAGGAAGAGAGATTATCCTTATTGAATGGAAAATTCTTCTAATTTATAAAAATGAAAAAATAGAAAAATGATAAAATAATTTTAGAAGATTCTGACATCCCATTTTATTTTGCTCAGAATAGTCTTTCATCCTACTGTATGGTATCACACAGGCTTCACTGTTAAGAAGTACAATGCTACATCAGTTTGATGGCCACTGCTAGGCAAAGAATCCCTTCATAATATAAGAATAAAAACTCAAAATATTCTTCTACAGTTTCATGAATAGACAACAAAAAGCACTTTGTCTTCATGTTGTTATTTTGCCCTCAGCAAAAAGCAAGATACCAAGCACTTTCCTCTCACTTTAGAAACAGAGATGTTCTTATCCACATGGCTGTAAACTAGCTGGGTTTCCACTAGCTGTGGGTTGTGGATGCTTTTTCAGATAAATCACACACGATCCAACTGGGGATAACTGGAGTTATCCTGGAGTCAGACATTTGGATAACAGAAGACTAAATGCAGAGTTAAGATAATTTTTAAAAGTAATTTAGATTTTTGTTTCAAGATGATTATTGTATTGGGATAAAGACTTCCAAGTTTTTAACATGCTATTATCATTAAAACAACAGGTGAATTTTTGTGAGGGAGCAGGAGAGGCTGAAAAATATTTCAAATGATTACTTAGCTAATAAGAATAAATCAAACTGCTACTTTTGAAAAGGGGATAGGAGGCTGGCGCAGTAACTCATGCCTGTAATCCCCGCACTTTGGGAGGCCAAGATGGGCGGATCACCTGAGATCAGGAGTTGGAGACCAGCCGGGCCAACATGGTGAAACCCCATCTCTTTGTATTTTGTAAAAATATAAAAATTAGCTAGGCGTGGTGGCAGATGCCTGTAATCCCAGCTACAAGGAAGGATGAGGCAGGAGAATCGCTTGAACCTGGGAGGCAGAGGTTGTAGTGAGCCAGGATTGTACCACTGCACTCCAGCCTGGGGGAGGGGAGGGAAGGGGAGGGGAGTGGAAAGAAGCGGAGGGGAGAGAAGGGGAGGGGAGGGAAGCGGAGGGGAGGGAGTGGGATGGGGAAGGGAGGAAAAAGGAAGGAAGGAAGGAAGGAAGGAACAAAAA